AAAAAGAAGGAATTCTTACCATTTGCAACAGCATGGATGGACCTGGAGAGCATTATGCTAAGCAAAATAAGCCAATCAGAGAAAGATAAATACACATTATCTCACTCATTTGTGGAATAGAATGAACAACATAAACTGATAAACAAAAATAGAACCCTAGATAGAGAAGCATCGATCAGACCATCAAACCTCAGAGGGAAGGCAGGAGAGGGTGAGGGTGGGGTAATAGATCGACCAAAGGACTTGTATGCATGCATATGAGCATAACCAATGGACACAGACAGTAGGGGGGTAAGGGCATGTGCTGGGGGGAGGGAGGGGCCGGGGAGAGGTCAATGGGGAAAAAGAAGACACATGTAATACAGTGTTGACCTGCTTAAAATATTTACTGAGTCTATTTATAATTGTTGCCACTCCTGACAAGACTAAATTATTCTACAAAGAGCATCTATTGTCATAATAAAGTAAGCTTTTTACATGTATGAACACCTTTCATCCTCAGAGTAACACCATGAGATAGGCACTGTTATTATTATTCCCATTTTACAAGATAAGAAATCGAAGCACGAAGAAATTAAGTCCAAGGGAAGAGTTAAACCTTGGCACACTGTTTCCAGAGTTCTAAAACAAAATAGTATGTTATTCTGCCTCACTTATGAGCTCATAATTTCTTAATCTTGTTAAAGTTTTAATTCAAACAAGAAAGTAAAAAAGTGAAAAGTAGAAACCCAAAAAATATAGATCACACACACACATATATATAAAATATAAACATACACTATGCAGATCAGACACAAAAATACATAAGGGATTTAAAAGGAAATAAAGAGGGATCATGGAACATTCATTTCCTTTTATTTATATCATAGAAGGATTGATTCTTCTTCCCCCACATTCATGCCATACTTGTTTTGTTTTTAATTTTGGTACCATAAACAAATATTTAGGATACTCTAAATCCAAATAACTAGATCAGTCAAGACTGAATAAATAGCATCCATTTGAAAAGTGTTTTAAAAGGTAAGAGTATTGTACTTCACTTCTAATCACATTCATCTCTTATTATATATTTGATATATAATAAATATCCACAACATAAATACACTCACTGTTAGATAAAATTAAACTTTCCAGAGTCTACAGCAGCTTCACAATTTTAGGTTCTGAAACAAAGTTAATAAAGGTCAAGCCAGGTGTTTTGTAACTGCTTAATTGACATCTAAGCTACAAAACAGTGGTGCTGAAATCAGTTGGGAGGCAATTATCTGCTACAAAGAAAGCAAATAAATGATGAAGGGAAATGAAGTTGTTTAAAAAAATCCAAACACACATGTACCTTTCTGTAAAAGTGTAATTTGTGAATTTAAGAGAATATTTTATCACATTAGCTCTTTTCTTAAATTTTTTTCCGACAGTTCAATTCCTCACAGAAGAATTCAACTAATGATGGCATAGAATTTTATGAGTGAACCTATGGCACAAATTGATATATTTGCCTTTTCTCTGAGATTGACTTTCTTTATATCTGGAGAAACAATAGTAAAATTAGCGCATGTTATACAATATGAATCATTACATCACAGAATCAGGAAAAACAGAAGAAAGGCATTACTGAAAACTAAAAGTTACATAATTAACCTATCCACTGAAAAACTGGTTTTAATGGATGTGAAATCCTGTTAGCTTATTCAAATTATTGCTTAAAATGCAACAAAAATTGGATTTCTGTGTAAAATTATAGTTTTGACTCAGTCAGAAATGTACAATGGCTTTGGAACATAAACCTAAGTAATTTAAAACATTATCACTGATTTAAATCCATAGCACCTGTTTAATCCCACATGTGTAAAAATAAGCTCATAATATTTTATACCTTCCTAAAGTTTTGACTCAAACAAGAAACTAAAAAGATTCAGAACAGGAACCAAAAAAATTAAAATATATATATATAATCAAATATATAATCAAATATATGAATGATTAATAATGGAAAAATCTAATTTTATCCTATAGTTTAACACTCTCCCCCACCAAAACTTTCCCAAAGCTCCAAGTAAGTAGCTAAATGACTAACTTGAATTTTACTTTTTTTCTCTGTCCAATTACTTTCCAATAGGAACATCCATAAAAATTGCCAAATTACAAATGTAGAAAATGTAACCTCAAAAATTTGTTGTGAGGATTAAATGAATTAAAATTCAGTAAATACCTAACATAGTGTATGGCACATAGCAAACACTCAATATATGGTAGTGTTATTATAATTACCTGTTAACATTAATAACACCTTTCATTTGCATAATATTTCTTCACAATAACTTCTTAACCTACACAAAAGTCATAGTAGTTTACAGAACTCACATTGATTTTCAATATTCCTGGATGTCTGTAAAATTTGAGTACGAACACAGAAAAAACTATAATGGTTCATGCAACCAATTAATATCACTGATGAAGGAAATAAAGGATGTTTTTAGGGCAATTGTATTTAACTTGCTTAAATTCAGTTCAAAAAACTAAGGTATATATCACAAACACTCCTGTAATCCATTATTTCAACTAAGCTTTTTTGAAATTATTGATATTTTTAAGTTGTTTTACTTGAATTTGTTATTTTCAATGTATCTTTAATTATCCACTTTCAACTTTCAGAGGTGTACTATTAATACACCTAACAGAGAATTCCACTCTTCTAGAATTTGATTAATTTTTTTATCCTACCTCTATTTATGGTTCAATATAAAAGGCATTTTTCTAGTCCATACACAATTCCTAGAATTTCCTGGATTTGTAGAATTCAAAAATAAGATTTAAAAATTCTTTGTAATAGAAATAAACAATACACATTAAATGGATGAGATTTGTCTTCCACAGACAATTAGTAAGATGTGTGATGCTGTTAAGATCCCATTTCCTAAATATCCACCATGGAGATTAATGCATCTTTTAAATCTTCATCAAAGAAATTTAATGTAACAGCTATAAAGTAAATTGCAATCTACAACACAGTGATCTATCTACAAAGCCCTGAGAAAAGTAGTCAAAATCAAACTTTATCTTGCTTTGTTAATCTGAGGAAAAGGACATAACTGGTTGGTTTAGGTATCCAAGCCCCTTGCGAAGAATTCTCTATAGCAGGGGTGGGGAAACTTTTTTCTGCCAAGGGGCATTTGGATATTTATGACAACAAGGGCCATACAAAATTATCAACTTAAAAATTAGCCTTCTATATTCAGACAAACATTTAATTAACTCATCCCTAATGCCTTGGCAGGGCCAGACCAAATGATTTCGAGAACCTTATACTGTACGGCCCTCGGCTGGACCTTCCCCCACCCCTGCTCTATAGAGATAAGGGATAATTCTTAAGCTTCTACCATAACTTTGATGATGAATACCATTCAAGACTTTCCAAGTTCCTTTTCTTTAACTTTATGATTACCACACAACCTCTACTTACTATTCCCAAGTTCTCAGATACATGAAAGAGTTCACTGGATTTTCAACCTGAAAATTCTAATCACTGGAAAGGGTAATCTTCTATTCCAACATAAACTGGCATTCTAATGTGTACATTCTAAGGTGTAAACCATTCCCTTATTTAGATTAGTTTGAGTTGTGTTCCTGAAGTCTGAGAAAACTTGAGTAAAAGTATACATTGGAAGTAAGAGAACTAGACATAATGTCTCATTGACAACTGTTACAATCATCTCTTGGTTTTCTCTCCCTGCCCTTACTCTGCTCCTATAAGAAAGAGAAAGAGAGAGAGAGAGAGAGAGAGAGAGAGAGAGAGAGAGAGAGAGAGAGAGAGAGAGATATGGTTTTTCTTTAGTCTACTGAAACATAGCCAAACCAAATTTAGGCAGATTCACTTACCCATCAAAATGAGTAATTTTAAAGGAACAATCTAGAACTTAAAAGCAAAACAAGGATGCATGGTTTACACAAGACGCATTTACATTTATTCTAGCCCCCAAAGGAAAAAAAGAAACCTATGATATTCAAATTGTGCTTTCAGACAACATCAGATATTATTCTTAAACTTAAATTATTCATCAACATTATTTATAAAGTGGTTTGGCACATGTGACTCAATTATTCTAAGGTTTAAAAATGTACTTAAGAAACATCCCATGTGGCACAGAGCAGGGTAGGTGCACTTGCATCTGAAGTGCATAAACTGGAGACTTCAAATGAAAACTCAGACGTTGCTCACTGGATCATTCAAAAGGAATTGTGTTATTCCTTCCACAACAAAAAAATTCTCTTCCACACTTCAAAGAAGTCAGCCTTACAACAAACACTCCATCTCTTCAATTGTGTCCGCTTACGTTTCATTTACAAGAAGGTTAAAATGCTCATCAAACCCACAGTTCACCTAAGTCCTAAAACAAAGAAACGTCTAGTATCAGCCTTAAAACTACAGGGCAGAATTCTCTTAGGACCATGATGCCAAGAAATCTACCCAACGGAAATGTTCTCTGTAATCTCCGTTTCCAGAAGACTGAAAGGCTGCAGAGATGCACGAGGATGCTGGAGGGAGCCTGGGGCGGCGGGGGAGCGGGAGGGGTGGAGAGCTAAGTCCCACAGAGGAACTGCCCTGGGAGACTTCGAGAACACAAGGGAGAGGCGGTTAGGTTTAGGGAAAAATAGACTTATTACAGATTACGTATGTTTTCAAAGAGAACTTAGTGATGGTGGTAAGGAAAAATGACATAAAACCTTGAACCCTCCACGGCCGGAGGGAAGGAGAAGCAAAGTAGGAAAAGGGGGGTCGGGGAGAGGGCGGGGAGTGTAAGGGCCTAAAACCCGGATTTGAAAAAAGAACGCAAGCTCTGAGCCTGGTCTTGATCCGGATCTTCTGCCTCTTAAGCGGACGGCAGGGGGGAAGGATCGCACTGCCTCAGGGCTGTAGAGAGCAACGCGCTCACAGCGCTAACTAGTCCTGCACAAGAAGATGTCTCCTCTCTCTCCTGGCTTACTCCCGTCTATTTCTTTACCTCTCTCCAGCACCAACGGCACTCCGGCAAAACTCTGCCAATGCCTGCGCCGCAGGTGGACAGCGAAAGGAAAATACCTGAGTCCCAGGAATCACGCAGGCAACGACAGGAGGAGGAGCCGTGGACAACTGGAGTCCGGGCAGGATCCCCGCTTGCCTCTAGTCAAACCTCAATTCTTACGGGTGGGGCAGGGAACTTCCGCCCTGAACCTGGAGACCGTCACTTCCGCCTAGTGCCTCCTCCCCCCGCGGCTCCCCCAACACACCTTCTTCGACTACTCGGCTCCAGATACATTCACTAAGCTCGCTACGTTCACATTGTTCTCACTTCCTTTTCCAGGAGACCTCTGCCCAGTCTTAACACCTGACGTGGACTACATGACCCAGCATTCACCACGGCAGGTTGATTTCCGGGTCAAAAGGTCCGCGCTGGATGCATCACCATGGAAGCGATGGGTTTGGTCACGTGGCGCCCCTGGTTACGCCCGGTGGTAGCTGTGGGGTCTGGGGCTTTGCCGGGGGCCATTTTGCCGAGGGCTTCCGGAGTTGGGGGTGGCCTGGAAGCTGACTGAAGCTGTGTTTTCTCCTCTGCAGCTTGGGGCTTGGAGAGGAACAAGAAGGCTGGGCTCCATCAAACCCTTCGGAGACGATGGTTTCCTCCAGCCTTTGCCACCCAACGACCCACCATGGAGGCTGCGCCCTCCGCGCTGCTCCTGCTGCTTCCCCTTCCAGCCAAATGTTCCTATCGCCCCGAGAGCCACAGCCGTCCTTCCGCCCCAGAGACTGATGAAAGTCGAGGTGCGGGCACCATGAGAGGCGAGAAAAACTGCTGCCGTGGAGCTGCGGGAGATCACGGTTCCTGCCCCTCCACTCCTTCGCCTCTGGCCTCGGCCCTCTTGATGCCCGCGGAGGCTATCTCCAGTAGTTGGCCTGGGTCTGGAGGCGGTTTGTCAGGGGGGGATGAAGAGGAGACTCGGCTCCTTCAACTCCTGCGGACCGCGCCAGATCCTTCGGAGGCCTTTCAGGCGCTGCAGGCTGTGTTGCCGCGGCGTGGCGGTCGACTTGGCTTCCCCAGACGGAAGGAAGCATTGTATCGAGCCCTGGGCCGAGTGCTTGTGGAAGGAGGTAGAGATGAGAAGCGACTCTGCTTGCAACTCCTCTTGGACGTTCTTCGAGGTCAGGGGGAGGCAGGCCAGCTGGAAGAGGCCTTCAGCTTAGCACTTCTGCCTCAACTGGTTGTCTCTTTACGAGAAGAGAATCCGGCCCTGCGGAAAGATGCGCTGCAGATCCTCCACATTTGTCTGAAACGTAGTTCTGGGCAGGTGCTAAGAACGCTTATACAGCAAGGCCTGGAAAGTACCGATGCTCGGCTTAGAGCTGCAACAGCACTGCTGTTCCCGATCTTGCTTACTCCTGAGGACTTGTTGCTGGGCCTAGATCTTACCGAGGTGATAATATCCTTAGCCCGAAAGCTTGGCGATCAGGAGATAGAAGAAGAATCTGAGACAGCTTTCTCTGCACTTCAACAAATTGGGGAGCGACTTGGCCAAGAGAGGTTTCAATCCTATATCTCTCGCCTGCCGTCTGCCCTGAGGAGACACTACAATCGCCGCCTGGAGTCCCAGTTTGGCAGCCAGATTCCTTATTATTTGGAACTTGAAGCTTCTGGATTTCCCGAAGACCCCCTTCCCTGTGCAGTGACCGTTTCCAACAGCAATCTTAAATTTGGGATTATTCCTCAGGAGCTGCATTCAAGATTGTTAGATCAGGAAGACTATAAGAACCGGACTCAGGCTGTTGAGGAACTAAAACAGGTGATGGGACGATTTAACCCAAGTTCTAGTCCTCATCCTAGCCTTGTCAGTTTTATTAGCTTGCTGTATAATTTGTTAGACGATTCTAACTTCAGAGTGGTCCATGGCACACTTCAGGTTCTGCATTTACTGGTTATTCGCCTTGGAGAGCAGGTACAGCACTTCTTGGGACCAGTTATAACAGCTTCTGTCAAAGTGCTGGCAGACAACAAGTTGGTGATCAAACAAGAATACATGAAAATCTTCCTCAAGCTCATGAAGGAAGTAGGTCCTCAACAGGTGCTTTGTTTACTCCTGGAACATCTCAAACATAAGCATTCCAGAGTTCGAGAGGAGGTGGTGAACATTTGCATTTGCTCCCTCTTGACGTATCCCAGTGAGGATTTTGACTTACCCAAATTGTCATTTGATCTTGCCCCAGCTCTTGTAGATAGCAAACGCAGGGTGCGACAAGCAGCTCTGGAAGCCTTTGCTGTGTTGGCATCATCAATGGGCTCAGGTAAAACCAGCATCCTTTTCAAAGCTGTGGATACTGTTGAACTACAAGATAATGGAGATGGAGTGATGAATGCTGTGCAGGCCAGATTGGCTAGGAAAACCCTCCCAAGGTTAACGGAACAGGGATTTGTGGAGTATGCCATACTCATGCCATCATCTGCCCAGGGTAGGTCAAGCCATTTGGCACATGGAGCAGATACAGATTGGCTTTTGACTGGTAACAGAACTCAGAGTGCATACTGTCCCTGTGGTGACCACACAAGGGATAGCATGCAAATTTATGGATCTTACAGTCCAACTATCTGTACCCGGAGGGTATTAAGTGCAGGAAAAGGGAAAAATAAATTACCATGGGAAAATGAGCAGCGTGGAGTCATGGAAGAAAACCAGACCTCCAATCTGAAGGATACAGAACAGGTATGCATCCCTAATTTCCTTGTATTGATACTAAAATAATTTAAAATGAAAGTATGCCTGTAATTTAAGGGTTATGCTGCTTTAGAGTTGTTATGCTTTATTTTTAATTTAATTTGAATGCTGATGTGGGTATTATAATGGTACAGGTCACATAAGAGTGTTTAATAGGCTTTTTGTTTGATGGCTTTGATTAAATTCTAGGCACAATGTGATATAGACAATAGCTGGATTTCAGTTTTAACCGGTCACTTTGGCTTATCAGTGATCTCATTCAAACAACAAGCACTAATTATCTAGTAAGAACCAGTTAAAGAGCTAAGTTCTGGGAATGAAAACGAGACCAATTCCACCAAGTCAGACCTGTAAACAGGCAATTACAAATTTGTTAAGTGCTAAAATAGAAATAGTCTTGTGGGAATACTGAAAACAGGAAAAATAATTCCACTAGAAAAGTCAAAAAAAGCCTTTGGAGATGTGACATCTGAATTGAAATTCTCCCCCACGCCCCTCCCAAAGTTTTTATTTTGAAATGTTCAAATCTACAGATAGCTTAATAGTACAATGGATATTCATATACTTCATCTATATAACACCATTTGTTATCCTCTTGCCATATGTACTCTATATTTGCCAAACCAATTGAAAGTGCAGATATCTTAACATTTCACTCCTAAATATTTCTACATATATCTCCTAAGAATGACGTTCTTCTTTGTAACCATCATACCACTATCATTCCTCAGAATAGCAATAGTAATTCAGTAATATCTAACATATAGCCTGTATTTAAATTTCTCTAGTTGTCCCCAAAATGCGTTTCATAGTATTTGTTTTACTTTTGTCATATAGGATTCAATCAAGGTAATGTGGTTAATATGTATCTCTTATCTACAATATGCCCACCTGTTTGTTTCTTTGTTTATTCATGACATTGAGTTTATTTGAAGAGTTTGGGGTAGTGTTTTGTAGAATTTCCCACATTCTTAATTTATCTGATTGTTTACTTATTCTTAATTTATCTTATTGTTTCCTTATGAGTACATTAAACAAACAGTTTCAGCAGACATACTCCATAGGAGAGATGTTGTGAACTTAACATTACATCACACCACAAGGCATATAAGACTAGGTTGGCCCACTATTGGTGATGCTAAATTTTATCATTTGCTTAAGGTGGTGATAGCCAGATCACACCATTGTAGAGGTTTATTTTCCTCTTTATAATTAGCACATGATCTGCAGGATATTTTGTGACTTTATTAATACTCAACAACCTTTCACCCACTGTTCTTAGCATTTCTTAATGATCCTTACCTGTATCACTTACTACATTAGGGGCTACAAAAAAAGGGTAACTCTTTTAAAAATTCTAATATTTCTCCTATATTTGTTACCTGGCATTCTTTTTAAATCTATATGTAAATAATTATATCAATATTCTTTTTGATGCTAAAATTGTTTCAAAGATTTAACAAGTGTTTGGCTTCTATATCTTTGACGTGGCTCTTTTAGTTTGTGAACACTTCCTTAACTTAAACATAACACTTGCCCAGGCTTACCTCACACTTTTATTGCTCCAGACATAGAATCAACCTTTTTTTTTCTTCAAGCGTTCTAGAATTGCTTTTTTAGTGAAGAATGAAATTTAAAAACCAAAGTTTGGGTATAGATGTACTCATTACTATTGCCTACTATTGCAAATTGGCCTTTTCACCTGACAGAACCAGAGAGTACCTTTTTTTTTTTTTTTAAATGAATTCATGCTGATACCTTCCAATTCAGCACTACAGGATTCTTCCTCATCTAATTTTAGTTCATATTTGTATCTCTCACAATAATATTCTGATTCCCAACACTAGTCATATTTATTCATATGCTGTATCCTACAATACACAAAAAATAATTACTATACCAGTAACACAACTACCTACCTACCTATTAAATAAAGTTCAAGATTTCTTTGCAGTATTTTTTCTGCTTAGAAATATCCCACAGTTAAAATTATATGTTCAAACTTTTCTTAAATTGTTTTCTGGGTGATTATGACTCAAATAGTGTGATAGAAGATGAATAGGAGTTCGCCAAGTGTGCATGGGTCCTGGTGAATTTCAGAACAAAAGAATGTATGTTCAGAGATACTGAGTTACAAAAAGAAGTAGCAAATTAAGAAATGGCGAGTTTCTGCATAGCTGAATAAGGCATTTTAGTGGGAGTAGCAGAAGATGATAGTAGAATGTAGGCAGGGGCAGAGTATGGAAATCATTTTTGCAAATAAGGAATTCATACTTTTTGTGGTTGACCTCAGAGGGATTGAGATGAACTAAGTGTTCTCTTTCATTCCTTCCAGTTCCAAAATTTATAGTTTTTAAAAATAATTTTTAGATTTGCATAATGTTACAGTTATTCTCATGTATTGTAAACATTACCTGGCAGTGGATGATTTTCTGTAAGCATTGATCGTAACACGGCTTGTTATGCTTCAAATCTGAAATGTTAATGTATTAAGATTATGGTCCTGGCCAAAGCACCAAGAATCTGAAAATAAGTGCCTTTCTGAAATTCCAGTGCAGACATTTGATGCTTTTGAAGGATTTTGGTGAAGTTAAAAGTTATCTAAGAAGTTATACTTTCTTACTCAGAAATGATCTATAAAAGAACTACATTGGAAATTATCTTAATAGAGGACAGGGATTAAATTTTTAAATATTTTTATTTTTAATATTTTTATGTGCAGTTTTTTATAGTAATTTTTAGAGCAGTTTTAGGTTCACAGTAAAATTGAACAGAAAGTACAGAGATTTCCCATATAGCCCTGCCCCACACATGCACAACTTCCCACACTACTACATCAAACTCTACAGCGGTATGTTACAATTGATGAACCTATACTGACACATCATTATTACCCAAAGTCCCTAGCTTCAGCAGTGGTTCTCATCCTTCTGGCCCTTTAAATACAGTTCCTCATGTTGTGACCCAAAATTATTTTTGTTGCTACTTCATAACTGTAATGTTGCTACTGTTATGAATCGTAATGTAAATATCTGATATGCAGGATGGTTTTAGGCGACCCCTGTGAAAGGGTCATTCGACTGCCAAAGGGGTCTCGACCCACAGGTTGAGAACCGCTGCTTTAGGGTTTATTCGTGATGTATATTCTGTGGATTTGGACACATATATCCATGTCCATTATCTACCATTATAGTATACAAAATAGTTTCATTGCCATAAAAATCCTCTGTGCTCTACCTATTTACTCCTTCCTCATTCCCTCCCTAACTCCTAGCAACCACTGATCTTTTTACTCTATAGTTTGCTTTTTCCAGAATGTCATGGCCCCTGGTCTGATTTGTACTGGTTCTTACCTAGCTCTGCCTTAATATTTACAGTCTACTGTTAATCTGTTACAGTAAACACTCGATTTTGCAGACCTCGATTTAACGAACTTCGGATTTAATGGACAAAATTTCTGGTCTGTATGTCATATATGAAAAGTTAACATCCTGTTAATTTTAAAATGCTTTTAACAAAGATTTACTTATAATTAAATTAACAGGTTTTTTCTTTTGTTATTAATTCACTGTTATTTTAACAAATTTTAACAAATAGTCCATATGTTGGGAAAAACACTGTAGTAATTTTGCCCACAGAAATAAACATTACATATCTACAACTATAGTCTACATATTTAAATCCAAGAGGAACCACTCCTAAACAATGTTCGGGGAATAATTAGCATGTGATCACACTATATCTCGGGTGGTAATTGGTTCTGTTGTTGTATGGTGTGACTTTGTGCAGCAGTTTTGTGGGGTTTTTTGGGGTTTTTTAAAATATATTTTTATTGATATCAGGAAGGGAGAGAGAGAGAAAGATAGAAACATCAGTGATGAGAGAGAATCCTTTATCGGCTGCCTCCTGCATGCCCCCTACTAGGATCAAGCCCACAACCAACCTAACCTGGGCATGTGCTCTGACTGGACTCGAACCTTGACCTCCTGGTTCATAGATCAACACTCACCCACTGAACCACACCGTCAGGGCTGTGCAGCAGTTTGTTTTTTTAAAATATATTTTTATTGATTTCAGAGAGGAAGGGAGAGGGAAAGAGAGAGAGAAACATCAACGATGAGAGAGAACCATTGATCGGCTGCTGCCTGCATGCTCCCTACTGGGGATCGAGCCAGCAACCCAGGCATGTGCCCTGACCAGAATTAAACCCAGAACCCTTCCATCTGCAGGTCTACGCTCTATTCACTGAGCCAAGCCAGCCAGAGCTGTGCAGCAGTTTTAATCTGAGCCAGCTGCTGATATTCTGACATGTGCTAAGCCATGCCCCAGCTGTGTGCATTTGTTTACTGGAGGTGACTGGCAATGCACACATTTACTACACCTATTCAGTATAAATCTACTGTAATACATATAGAAAACTTTTCTGTGAAATTAAACTTTTCATAAATACTTAACTTTAATTACATAAACGTGTCTACATAAGTAAAAACAGGTAAATTAACTAATTTGTCAACTCTTTAACATATACATTTGGAAAACCTACTTTAAGGGACACCCCCTCCTTGCCAGTATTTCTGTCTTGTCCATGTGTAGCATCATTGGTTAATGACATTAAATAGCAAAGCTTCCAGAAAAACTCAAGAATGTTTCAGTTACAAATTTCTATAACTCATTTTGAAGATAGACTAGTTTGCTTAGAAGGATGATGTTCATAGTGTAGGAAGTAAGGTTACAAGAGGGAGGTAGGGACTAGATTGGAGACTAGAATTTAGCCTGTAATTTTGACAGTGATTTGAGACTAGGGTTTAGGTTTTTGTTTTGTTTTTCTTTTTCTTTTTTTTTAAGCAATGTTTTAGGAAAATTAATCACAACAGGAGCAATATGTAAGTTTTGTGTGTGTGTATGTTTCTTTTTTTCAGAGAAGCTAGACCAGGGGTCTTCAAACTACGGCCCGCGGGCCACATGCAAATACAAATATTGTATTTGTT